ATTCATTCTCACTGACTTGAATACATAATAATAACAACGACAAAACAACAAATTCACATTACAAGGACCAAAACAATCATAACAAATAAACACAAAAACTGCAAAAAAAAAGACTCATAGGGAACGCAAACCGCTTTATTTCAGTGACCTTAGATGATCACCATAACATAGAACGTAATCCACAATCATTTGGAGTTGCAAGCCATTTTCTTTCGCTTGACATCCAAAAACTTGATTACAAGCTCGTATATGGATTTTAGCGTCGATCCCGTCTTGAGCGATCGCTACAAATGCAAAATTTACATGAGATATATGAATTTCAATGTAGAGTTGCTTATATTGCTATAAACTTTTTTTCAGAAACAATAATTGAAAAGAGCTGATTTGAGTTATATTATACACCTTACCGACTAGAGTCACGTTTCCTATCTCGACTTCTGCTACGACGTCTATCGCGGTCTCTGTCTCGATCTCTGTCACGATCGCGGTCCCTTTCGCGACTCCGATCGCGCTCACGACTGCGATCCCTTTCGCGGCTGCGATCTCGTTCGCGGCTGCGATCCCGCTCGCGACTTCGGTCTCTTTCACGGCTTCGATCTCTTTTACGTGAGTCCGTATCTCGAGTGTCCCTCCTTCGATCCGAACCACGTTCCGAGTCGCGATTAGATTTGGAGTAGTCATCTTTCGTGTCTTTCCTGGTGTCTCTTTTTCCCTTTTTCTTCTCTTTCTTCATCCGTTTTTTGACCAATGCAGCAAGATTATTCTCCACTTCGGCCATTTCCTTTTCCCGTAGGGCTTTGACCTCAAAACAAAAGATGAGCAAAATGAGTACGAATAGCAACGCACCTTCGAAGCAATATCAGGGTCCTTCTTGCTTTCGAGTTCGTCTTGCAAAGCCATTATTTTCACCTATACCAACGTCCATAGAAAATGAGAATAAAAGATCATAACCATACTCAAAGAATTTGTTAAATCACCTCTACTTCTCGCATCAATTTACGTCGCTCTTCCTCCATGGCGGCACTGGCAAGTATGTCCCTAAAAAAATAGAAATATTGATGTGACTCTGTAATTTAGAAATTTCAAAGTAACCAACTCTTTTTCCTCTATCTCTCCATCAGTATCGCTATCGTCGCTCTCTTTTGTGCGAGTACTAGTTGCGTTTATTTCTCTTTCTTCTCGCTGAGGACTAGAGTTTTGCTCTTTCGAAGACGTTTCTGCATCATCTTCCTCCCATTTACTTTTGACTGGTTCAACAGTACCAATCTGAAAAGCATTGCTCAGTGCGTTCTATCAGAGTCGTTAAAACATACCGTGCTCCAGTTCCCAGATTTGAACATTCCCGTAGGTTTTCTGGTTTGCTCCGAAGATGTGCTAGCGCGATGATCATCACTGTCGTCAAAAATGGGCATCTAAAAAGCACTTTCGTTTATTGCATGAGCAAAATAG